AGCCCTGGCATGCTGCATGCTGTTTGACTTCTCTGGGCTTTTGTTTCCCTATCGTAAATGGAGGTACTTAAAGGCCAAAAATCAAATAATTCTTTCTATAGTTTTCTTTCTTTCTTTCTTTCTTTCTTTCTTTCTTTCTTTCTTTTCCTTTTCTGTCTTTTCTTTCTTTTCTTTCTTTCTTTCTTTCTTTCTCTCGGCTCTCCTCTCTCTCTCTTTCTTTCTTCTCTTTCTTTCTTTCCTTATCTATCTATCTATCTCTCTATCTATCTATCTATCTATCTATCATTATCTTATTCTATCATCTATCTATCTATCTATCTATCTATCTATCTATCATCTATCTATCTATCTAATCTATCTATCCATCTATCATCTATCTATCCATCTATCTATCTATCTATCTATCTATCTATCTATCTCTATCTATCTATCTAATCCCCCCCCATATCTCTCATCTAATCTATCTCATCTATCTATCTCTCTATCTATTCCTATCTATCTATCTATCTATCTATCTATCTATCTATCTATCTATCTATCTATCATCTATCTATCTATCTATCTATCTATCTATCTATCTATCTATCTATCATCTATCTATCTATCTATCTATCTATCTATCTAATCTATCTATCATCTATCTATCTATCTATCTATCTATCATCTATCTATCTATCATCTATCATCTATCTATCTATCTATCTATCTATCTATCTATCTATCATCTATCTATCATCTATCTATCTATCTATCTATCTATCTATCTATCATCTATCTATCTATCTATCTACTATCTATCTATCTATCATCTATCTATCATCTATCTATCTATCTATCTATCTATCTATCTATCTATCATCTATCTATCTATCTATCTATCTATCTATCTATCTATCTATCTATCTATCTATCTATCTATCATCATCTATCTATCTATCTATCATCTATCTATCTATCTATCTATCATCTATCTATCTATCTATCTATCTATCTATCTATCTATCTATCTATCATCTATCTATCTATCTATCATCTATCTATCTATCTATCTATCTATCTATCTATCTATCTATCTATCATCTATCTATCTATCTATCTATCTATCTATCTATCATCTATCTATCTATCTATCTATCTATCTATCATCTATCTATCTATCATCTATCTATCTATCTATCTATCTATCTATCTATCATCTATCTATCTATCATCTATCTATATATCATCTATCATCTATCTATCTATCTATCATCTATCTATCTATCTATCTATCTATCTATCATCTATCTATCTATCATCTATCTATCTATCTGTCTATCATCTATCTATCTATCTATCTATCATCTATCTATCATCTATCTATCTATCTATCTATCTATCTATCATATATCTATCTATCTATCATCTATCTATCTATCTATCTATCTATCTATCATCTATCTATATATCATCTATCATCTATCTATCTATCTATCATCTATCTATCTATCTATCTATCTATCTATCTATCTAATGATTTGGAAATAAACTTGAAGATCATTTTATCTTCTAATGTAAAGGTAGGAAAATCTGAACCCAGAATGGGGACCAGAACTTCCCCAACCCAGGTGCCCAAGCCTCCGATGCAGGGATCCTGCCTGTCTCATGAAGGACATCTCAGTGTTACTGTCTCTACGTCACTTCTACAGCCATCCATTCACCCAGCCTGTCACTCCAGAGGCACCGACATTTAAAGACCAAATTCTAGTCCACGTCTGCGTGGGGGAGGAAACAACCAACCAGCTTTAGTCTTCTGTCCCCAAAGCCCTCTGATTGGAGCGTTTTTTGCTTATTAATCTTCACGAAGGCCTGACCACGGGGGTGAGAAAGGGGCTGGGAAGTACTAGGCGCCATTCCATGCCGGCCGAGGCCAGGCCTCCCTGCTTCCCCTCTTCTGCCTAAAAAGTGAAGCCTCCTCCTCAAGAAAGAAAATCCAGCCGTAACCTCCCCCACACACCCCCCAACCACCCAACACACACGTATATTCTGGTCACTCCTCCGAGCAGCACAGGTCACTCACTCACTGTCCCGTCAGTGGGCCAACTAGCAGGTGCGGGTGAGGCCTGCTGTTGTCCCACCAGCTGTTCTTCTCCCCCCTCCTTCCTTCTTTCTTTCCTCCCTTCCTTCCGTTCATGCATCGGCATTCACTGAAGCCTGTCTGGGGTCAGGCTTTAACCGGGGGGGGGGAAGTGATTTTACCAAGGTCACCCCGCTTTATGACAGGAACGAGGGCAAAAGGCCACTCTGGAACTGGGATCCTGACTCATCAATGGGAAGCCTACCTGGACTGTGCACACCCAGAAGTCACTTCCTTCCTTGTGACTCTACAGGACCTGGTAGACAAGTCTATTATAAGCCTGTCCAAAGTCCAGGCTCTCTCCGGACGTCAGGCCCGTAGAGCTATTTGCCTGCCGAACGGCTCCACTTGTACACCACATGAGCCCCTACACTCAACACACCCAAACAAAGCTCACAATATCCCCCTCCTCAACCCCTTTCTCCAATAGTCTGTATGTAAGTTGTTGGCCCCACTATGTTGCTCAAATCAAGACAACTAGGCATCGTCCTTGATTTCTTCCTTTATGCTCACGCCTGAGCAATCACCAATAATAGTCAGTCCTACCTGTTAGATATTGGAACACACTATTAAAATGGGACCTAGTCTTGGTTTTAGCTGAGATTCCAAGTCTACAGATAGCACATTTTATTTATTTATTTAATTTTTATTTATTGATTTGAGAGAGAGAGAAGAAAAGAGAGAGAGAGAGAGAGAAAGAGAGAATTAAACATCAATTTGTTGTTCCGCTCATGTATGCATTCATTGGTTGATTCTTGTACGTGCCCTGACTGGGGATTGAACCTGCAACCTTGGCACATCGGGACAATGATCTAACAAACTGAGCTACCTGGCCAGGACCAGATACTGCATTTTAAGGTGAGGTATGAAACCACCACGCAGGACTTGGAAAGGGAAACCAGTTCTGCAACCTTTAGCTCATCTTCGACAAAGGGTCATTGGAGAGGTGTAGTGCCCAGCAGAGTGAGCCATCAGGTCACCAGGGCCTGGGGAAGAAGCTGTAAATAGGCAGTCTGAGAAGAGAGACTGCCCCATCCACGCTCTCAGCAGGTGTGTGTGTGGGAGTCTGAAGAAGCTAACAAGGGACTGCCCACGCCCTCCCATGAGAGCACCCGCCACCTAATACCCTTTCTGCCTTTTTTCCCTCTCCCTCGTCCTGCTCCAACGTGCAGGGATAAGCATCTGGGATCAGGCAGATGGGGGAAAGAGCTGGAAGTCACGCTGGAGAAACAGAGGTCACCTTGAGCAGCCTGTTTGAGACAGGCCTGAGCTGGAGGATGGGGAAGTTTTCACTTTGAAGAGGTTTGATGGTTTGATTGGACCAGACGTGCTCATGCTAAACTGGGATTGTGTTGTGCCCCGAATCAATTAGAAAAATTTTAATTTGCTGAGGGTGACTGGAAAGTCATGGGGCCCCAGAGCTTTTACATCTTTAGATCTAGATCTACAATCTATATCCATGTATCTTTAAGGTCAATGGGAAACAATATTTCATAATTGTTCCCAGTCAGTACTGCTCGCTCAGTGCACCCGTCACACACCGTGGCCGGGCGCTGCCTGTGTTTACTTACCACCTGCTGCTCCGGCGTAGCCCCACAACCCTCCGGCACGCATCCAGGGAACGCGTGTCATCTCTGGCGTTTGGGCTCTCTCCTGGACGTCTCTCTCTGCCAGGAAGGCTGATCCACCCTCTCTGTCTGCTTCCCACTCACCCTGGACATCTGAACCCTAGTTCTCCTACCTGGCCAGGAGGTCTTTCTTTCCTCTCGCTCCCCACTACTCCTGCAGGCCCGGAGGACTCCCGTGTGCCTCCCCAGCCGGAGGAGCCCCCTCTGCCAGACCATTCATCCCTCTGAGCGGCCGCTGTGTCTACCTTTCGCCCTCCCCTCAAGACTGTCTTCTTGAAGGCAGGGACCACATCTCAGTCCTCTGCCCACTTGCACTGTCTGTTAGAGTCCTGCTGGATGGATGAGTAAAATCAGTATCTTCATGCCTGCTGTGCGTGTCAGAGGAGCCAGTGCAGAGCGTGCAGTAGGCTTCGAATTGAGACCAAGCCAGTGAACGGAGTCCTAAATCTCTGCATCTTCTCCTGGCCACACCCGTCATTCCTTCTAGCGTCAGTGTTGTCTGATTTTGAGGTGTCCCCAGCTGTAAGCCTGTGGAAACGCATCTGCTCAGGACCAAAGGTCTCTGTCCCCAATGCTTTCTTCACCCATTATGTCAAGGAGCTTCTTCCTTGTGGCTGCAACCAGACCATAAATGAGGGCCACAGAAGCTCGGGTACGTTTACGATTCCAGTTTAGCGTGTCTCTCTCTGTCTCTCTGACATCGTTTGAACAGAGCATATTTATTACTTGGCAGGACAGTAAAATATAAACAGCATTTGCTGAAGAATGGGCTAAAGTTCTCAGGAACTTGTCATTTCCCAACAACAAAAACAACGACTAATAGGGAGGAAGATAAAAGAGAAAACACGGTTTTCCGTGTTCAGGGCTAGAAGCAGGGGTCAAGACCATCGGGGTCTTCCCCAGCAGCCTGGGGACAGTCACCAGCCTGGGTGCTTACACACCTCAGGGGGCAGAGACTCACTCCCTCAGCAGAGGGGAGAGAGATGGGAACAGCATGAAGTAAGGGGAGGCCCTGGGTCCAGGCGCCTGGCCAAGACTTGGAGCAGAGCAGAGGTAGTTGGGAGAGGGGTGTCCATTAGAGGGCAAGGGGGAGACAGGACAACCCAAAGACGCCGTCAGCACAACCAGCCTCTTCCACCCTCACCCCAGATTTCAGCCCTCACCTGAGTTGGAGTCCAAATTCCTGACCCACCTAGGAACCCTGCCAGACCTGGATGCGAGCCAGCCCAGGGCGGGCGGGGCCCTGCCAAGGATACAGGCTTCCTCGGTGTAGGGCACAGCGGCCGTGGTGCCCCTGGCGATGTAGCTGTAGAAGGAGACCTCCAGGGTGTAGCAGTAGGAAGTGTGGTCCAGGACCCCTCCGAGGAAGCGGCGGCCAGTGCCCGCCTTCACGGCGTCCCGGTTGAAGGAGGTGCTGGACTGGGAAAGACAAGCGGGGAGCAGACGGTCAGGGCAGGACGCCTGCTGGCTATCAGATTTTGAGCAAATCTTACAGTACCTCTGGGCCCCAGCTTCCTCGTCGGAAAAGTGGGATATTAGTCCCACATCACAGGGTTATTGTGATGACTGGTGAAATAAACAAACATAATCAGAACCAGAGCCCCCAGCAGAGCTCTTGGGGGCACAGAAACTGCCATTTCCTAAATGCAGGGGTGGGCCTAGTGGGTGTACAGTTGCGCGTGCGTGAGACACTGCGTTTGCCCAGCCCCATATTCGTGAGCCTTGGGACGGGGACAGATGGGACAAGGAAACGCAGACCGAGAACAAGAAGCAATTATATGATGATGCTAATCAGAACTAAAATTTGGGCAGTACTTTCAACCTAATCACATTGTTTCCCCTGCCGTTGTGTCTCCTTTAGGCTTCAAAGTAACCCCTTGGGACTGAACATCGGGGGCAGCCTCCATGGACAACAATACCGAGGTTCCTCAAAACACTAAGGATGGAGCTACCATGTGATCCTGCAAGTCTTCCTCTGGGTATCTGCTCAGAACACGGGAAACACTTGTTTGTGAAGATCCCTGCACGCCCTCGTCCCCTGCGGCGTTGTTCACAACAGCCAAGGTGCGGGAGCGGCCTGAGAGCCCTTCGGCAGGGGAGGGGTAGAGAAGGTAAGTGCACGCTGAGCCATACGCAGAAAGATGAAGTACTGCCACTGTGACGGCATGATGGGTCTGAGAGCACTGGGCTAGGTGGACTGTAGGATCCACTCGTGTGTGGATATAAAACAAAACGCGACCAATGAACAAACGAAAAACTGAGTGTGTTATAACTTTGCCCCTCTAAGTGAGGAGAGCAAGCGAGCGATCCAGTACAGATTTGAACCCAGGATAAGGGACTTCAGAAACCCCAGAACTCCCTCTAGTGCACCCCACCCCCTAGCAGCGGCTGGCTCCTGTCCAGCCTCACCGGAGAGGAGGATCGTGGCCACTTCTTCACTAGGGTGTGGACCACACTCATCACTTTAGGCGAAGGAAGGAGCAAGCAGGTCAATGGCTCAAGTCCTCTGTCCAACATATGTGACCTGGGAAATGACTGGCCTTCATTTCCTCATTTGTAGGTGGAGGTGATGATAGTGTCTCTTTTACAGAGTTGTGAGGGTCAGTTCACTTCAGGTTACAAGGGCATCTGTGCTGACCCATGGAGATCTAAGTGCATAAAGAAGCTGTGGTTTTAATAAGAGAACGTGTGCCTTACTCAGCAGAAGGTAAGAGAAGACGGAGAAGATGGAAAGGAAGAAGGAGGAAGAAACAAGCAAAATGAGGCTAAGTGAAGAGCGAGAGAGAGAGAGAGAGAGAGAGAGAGAGAGAGCGTGTGTGCGTGTGTGTGTGTGTGTTTCAGTAAAGGAAAGGATCAGAAAAGCATATAATGTGAGATCTGAAAGACCACTGAAGTCCACGTAGTGAAATCCAACTCTCATTTTAGAGCTGACACTGAGGACCAGAGAAGAGGGGAAACAGAGATAGGACTAGATAGATGACCTTGACCCCGGCCTCGAGCTCTTAAGGGGGCCGCATTGCAGGAACATAGTCAGGCCAGGCCAGAAAGCAAGCCTAGACGGAGCCCTTTCGTCAGCGCGGGAAACCGCACCCCTCTGCAGGTCTCTGAGGCCTGTGGCCCGCCTCCTGGGGCACCTGGATCCAGGGGACCAGACTGCTCTGGACTTACAGTGGTTCAGAGACAAGGGCTGACCATCCTGTAGAGGTTCCCACAGAAGCAAGGATGGCTGCTTTTATCCCAGCACCGCAAAGAGGGAGCTGCCTGCTCTGATTAACCACCAATTCAGAGGGACCTTGCTGTAGAGACTCATTCTCTCTGGGCCACAGGCGTCTCTTAGGTGTAAAGAGAAAACTGGACTAAATAATCTCCCAGTTCTTCCTGTGGTCTGGCATTCAAAGATCCTGAGATTTAAGGTGCATCCTCTCTCATGGAGAAATGTATCATCCCCACGAACGCCCAGGCCTACAGCAATGAGCCGGCCAGTGTTCGGCTCATCAGCTTCAGAAAGTGCTCCGACCTTTGTGGGCCTCTCCCCGTCTGGCCACTTGGGAATAACAGGCCTGAGACACTTTGTGTCAAAACAAAGGAAAATGTGCAAAAACGCTCTCATGTCCCCACGCCACAGGCCGGCTCCCTTCCTTATCTTTTCTCCCTGTCCTTTGCAGTGTTGCTTTTTGGTGCACATTCTCCTAACCAGCAGCCTGCAGCCTCTCCAGCCCCGCTTGGTGTGTGAGGTGGGTGGCCACACGTTCCTGGAGTCCGCTGAGGTCTTTTCTCCTGCAAAGTACTTTCCCACCTAGTCCTGCATTTGTCCCCCCAGGTAGCTATGACGCAGGCAGGGCAGGACACTGTCACCGACAAATTATCGGCAAAGACATTCAGGCCCAGAAAGCATCGCGCAGGAGGAGAACAGGGGGCGGATGAGCCCTTCAGCGGACCAGCCAGGCTCCCACTAAAGAGCTGCGGCAGGTGGAAGCCAACGGGCAGAGCCTGGCGTGTGCTAGGTGCTCAGTCGCTCAGTGAGTTTCTTCTCTTAAAGCTGGAGTCGGATCGACCAAACCAATGCCAGCTCCTCAGACGAGCCAAGTGCTCGCTGCCATTTCAAAGTCTCCCTCCTGCCTGGTGCCGGGAGGCGTGCGGGCAGGACGCAGCTCGTTCCTGCTCTCTTTATCATCCACCCAAGCCTGGCGCAGGGCTGTGCTCCGTAACGTTACACCGTTACACCGACTGGTCTGAGTGCGGAGACGGGCAGAGGGAGGGAGTGGGGCCGGGAGGGCGGGGCCCGGCTGAGAGAGGGCTCTGGACTCACGTAGGAGAAGTCCTCGGCGTTCTGGCAGAGGAGCTTGGGGAAAACGGCCTGCCTCTGGAACCGGTCCTCATCTTCAAAGATGTTGCCGTACATGAAGCCATTCATCATGGTGGAGTGGGCGTGGATATCAATATAAAACTCCAGGCTTGTTTTCTGTTGAGAGAGAGAGTAACAAATAGAAGTCTGGGGTCATAGAGCTTACCTTAAAGGGACCAGGCACACTATACACACATACACATGTACACTCATGCACACACATACACACACCACATACACACATGCACACAGCATACATGCACACACACCATATACACATAATACATACACACATGCACACACATGCACACTCACGCACACACACCACACACACACGCACACACCATACATGCACACACACCACATGCACACTCATGCATGCACATGCACACACCACATACACACATGCAAACACCACACGCACACACCATACATGCATATACACACACCACATGCACACCCACACATTTTCTTTCTCGCTGGCCTTGTGTGTCAGCTGATTCAGCAGCCACCTGCATTGTGATAGGAGTGTTGGGACCAGTGAGAATCAGCGCCCGCTCCCTTTTAACACCATCTACACTCAGGCTCTGAGAGCACTACTTCTTAAGAGATCTCCTAAAGAAGTGAAGTTTTTGTTGGGTTAAGTCCTGAATAGCTGATAACATTCGCGGCCAAACACTTTAGCAGAGTTTGTTTCTCTGATTAATTAGAAATGCCTTTAGGCAACAGAATTGTATTTGCACTGGGCCTGCTTATGGTTTTGCCCTGACGAGGCTATTTCTAGCTGAGGCAGTCTGTGGTAAATCATGGCCCTGCCTTGAGCCTCAGCTTTTTTATTTGAAAAGTGATTGTTTTCGTTCCAATCTCAGAGAGGTACAGTGGGAATCCAACATTGCAATAATACTTACTATCAGTTACTACATATTTAATGCATGCCAGGCACCATTCTGGGAGTTTCACCTATGACATCCTAGTTAATTCTTTTATTTAACCTCATTTTATGATGCCACACCTACTCTTCAATAATATATAAATAGGGCATGGGGAAAAAAACACCTTGTAATCTATAAAGATGATGGTAACTAGCCTTTCTCTGCTCTCTACTTACTCCTATTTAAGGCACTTCCTAGCTTGATACGATATTACTTGCTCACATTCCCGTCTCTGAGCTCCCGGGAGGCAGGGGATTGTCTGTAAAAAGCCTGGTGCCTATGCATGAAGGATGCTCAGCAGCTGTGTGCAGAATGACTGAACAAACGGCCCCAGAGAGATTACTCCAGACACAGTAATGGGCCGGCAGGAATTGAGGACTTTTGTGGTCCTTAGATCTCCAATGACCCTCAAATCCAACCTTGTCTCCCTATACATCAGTCCAAGTTATGTCTATTAATCCTTCCTCAGAGTAGTAGGGGCCCCGAATGGGGAGGAGACTTATCCGAGCTCGTGGCATAACAGGGACAGACACCAGGGTCTCCGGACGCCTGGCACAGTTATCATCATCAATGGCCAGTGCTGGAAACAGCCAAGGCAAAACCTGGCCACCTGTCTACCCCTCTTCTAGCGAGTGGTCCTGGGGAAGAAGAAAAGTCCACTCTTAGAAGGATTCCCCCTCCTTGGGACGCTTTCCAGTGAAGTTAAAACCCAATGAAAACCATGCTGCTTTGGAACACGGGCTGTGACTGTCATTTCATTTGCCTCAGAGTCGGAGTGAAACCTCCCGTCTTGCCGAGCTCCCCGTTTTCTGGGTAGCATAAGCTGTCTTTGGAGACATATAAGATGCACTGCTCTGTGTGATATTAAACTCATCATTTTCAGCTTTGGAGGCGGAACACACAATGATTCAACAGGAGCCCTATAAAAGTCGTCTTGCAATTTTATTTTCTTCAATTGTCTGTCCTTTCCTCTGAGCTTTTGATGAGCTATGGAGGGAAGGAGGAGGCAGAGATGACTTAGGAAATGTGTGAGGAAACACTGCACTTCGTATCTCGGGGTGTGAGAGCCAGAGAGAGCCTTGACAACCAGCTTCTCTGGCCTTCACGGGTCAGCCCCGCCTGGGGAGGATGCATGTCTCAGGCCGGCCAGCGGGTTAGGGAAGGAGCAGGAACTAGAACCATTCTTCTTTTTCTTAATCCTCACCAGAGGACACTTTGGTTTTTTGTTTTTTTTTTTTGCATTTATTTTCAGATAGAGAGGGAGAGAGGGAGGAAGAGAAGGAGAGAAACATTGACAGGAGAGAGACACATCGAGTGGCTGCCACCCACACGACCCCAACCGAGGCCGGGGACAAACTGCAACCGAGGTACGTGCCCTTAGCGGGAACCGAACCTGGGACTCTCTGGTCCGCGTGCCGACACTCTAACCGCTGAGCCAAACCGGCCAGGGCAAGGACTAGAACCATTCTAAGGGGCTTCCATGGCCCTGTCCTGACACCTGGCACCTGATGTGGTTTACATAACCAGCAGGTGAGATCTACTGATTGAATTACATGGTTCAAAAGTAAAAAAATAATATAAGAAAGTAATAACAGGAAAAATATCCTTATCACTGCTGTCCTGCTAACACCCAGTTTCAATTCCTGGAGGCAACGCACGTTGCCAGGTTCTCACGCATCCCTCCAGAGACAGCTTATACACAAACAAGGACACAGTCCTCCCCCTTCCTCCCAACACACACAAGTGGTAGCACACTGACCACACTGTTCAGAGCTGCTTCTGTTCTCCTAACTTGTCGTGGAGGCAACTTTTTCCCAGTACTTACAGAGTGACCTCATTCTTTTTTAAAACAAGATTTTATATTGATTTTTTAGAGAGAGAAGAGGAGAGAGAGAAACATCGATGGGCTGCCTCCTGCGCACCCTTCACTGGGGATGGAGCCTGCAACCCCATGTGTCCCAATTGGAATGAAACCAGCAACCCTTCGGTGCATGGGACTACGCTCATGAGCCACACCGGCCAGGGCAAGAAGTACCACATTCTTTTTAGAAGCCATATATAAACTATTTTGCTAGTGCCCTATTGATGGACATTTATTTCCAAACTTTTCCTGTTATAAATAATGTCTTAGTGATTGATGCTGTATAAACACGATTTCACACATATACAATTATGTGTGGGGTAATTTCCTAGGAGCAGAATTCATGGGTCCTCTGTACATTTGCAATTCTGAGAAGTACTGACAGATCAACCGCTTTGGAAGGCCCACTCCTGGCACTGCCATAAAGTCTCATTGTCAATTACCTCGACAAGATGGGAGAAATCATTTTTTCATATTTGCCAATTTGATGGGTTAAAAAAAATGACATCTTAGATTAGTTTTAATCTGAATTTCTCTTAGTATAATTACTTTTTATTATATGGTTAAGTATCTTTTCACATGGTTAAGAACTAGTTTCATTTTCTTTTCTATGAATTGTCTGTTCATTTCCTTTGTCCACTTTAAAAAGTGAATTGTTGGCTTGAAGATGGCTGCGGGCAGAACCAGAGGGAGGGTGAGTGTGTGAGGGAGTGAGCTAGTGTGTGAGAGAGTGTGAGTGGACGTGAAGGTGGACGACCAAACCCGAGCAGTGCAGAGACGTGGAGCAGAAGTTCCTGTGCTGTGGATGGAACAGCCGGCCACCTCGGTAAGTGGCTCTTCAGGGCGCTTCTCCCTGCACCGCGGGGAGGTCCCACCATTTTGGAAGATCCTGGATCTTTCCTGGGAGGAGGCAGTGGGAATGGCTAGGGCCCAGCAACCTGAGCCCACCAGCGCACCTGGCACCATCGGACCAGTGGACACTCGGTGTCAACATAGACCAGTGCACAGTAGTGGAGCTCCCAAGGTGCCGATCGCGAAAGCTAGGGACAGTTGGGAGCCCAGCACCATCCCCCATAGTAGCAGCCTGATCAGAGTCGAGATATACCCCCAGCAACAGAGGCTGGAGAGCAGACATCCATCCCCAGGCAACAGAAGCACAGACTAGCAGCTGAGACCCATCCCCCAAAACTACAGCAAAAGCTGAGTAGGAGTTGAGCCCCATGGGGCAGCAGCACTCCCCAGCCACCGGTGGTGTGACCTGGGGCTCCACAGAGGCCTGTGCTGTCCAGCAGCTCACAAGAGCAGTGGGAAGCTGGAGCCCGAGAGGGACTGGTGCCATCCAGCTGCCTGCCCACGGGAACTGCAGGGTTTGGGGGCACCAGAGAGGCCTGTGCCACCCAGCAGGGACTGTGCAATCCAGTTACCCATGGGACCTACGGGGTGCTGAAGCACCAGAGAGGCCTGTGCGACCCAACAGCCCATAACATAGGCATAGAATTGGGTCCTTAAAGGGACTGTGCGATCCAGTTACCCACGGGACCTGCAGGATGCAGGGACACCAGAGAAGCCTGTGCAACCCAGCTTTGCACAAGATATGCGTAGAGGGTGTGAAAATGGAGGTGGAGTGAATGGAAGCTACACAGAAAATCTCCCAGGACCAAATGGGAATTACAACTAAAATAAAGACAAATCCTCAGAAAAAAGCAACAGAAAAGCAGCAGGACAGGACCATATAACCAGGGACACTGGTAGGATCTGCAGAGGCACAAGAGGGTGGCAGGCTGGGAGCCCACGGATAGCAGTAGTCTTACCTGTGAGCAGTTCCCTTGGGGAATAAAGACCAAGTCTGCTCCACAGCACAGAGAGCCAGGACAGAGCACTAAAATAGCAACAGCCACTCAACTGGGGCTATGGTAGAGGGAGGGCAGACTGGGCTGGAACTCTGTGGGGACACCCAGGATTTGGAGGGCACTCAGAGTTTTTGCTGAGTTGCGGCCACAAAGGATGGTGGCCAGTGTGCTCCTTCCCAGAGCTGTGGGGAAAAGCAGCAGCTCCCCACCCCTACCAGGAAATTAACAACCAGCATCTATCCCACCCTCTGGAAATCCTTTTGTGCAGAACACCAGGGCTACATTCCAAGGCACTGCATTACTGAGACTACTAGCTTCCAGGAAAAAGCTAGAGGATAACTGAACCTTTGCTGGGCTTGCAAATCTACCAAGAAAAGTAAGACTTGACAGTGGTGTTTAACGTGGGCCCACCCAGGCTCATCCAAACTCAGTAGAGGGAGCCACAAACAGCAGAACACCAACAGCCACAGGGAA